CAAGTTCAAAATTCAAGGTCTGGCTTTCAGTCATCTTGCCACATAGCACGAGGGCATCTCGCCGTGATAGGGTTGGGGGCTTGTCTAACCCGAAAACTGAGGCCGAGGCGGCCTCACCTCAGGAGACCCCAAACAGATGTTCTCATGTGCTCTTGCGCCATTCTGCGGTGAACTACGTAAGTCCCGAAACCCCACGAACAATGTAAACCCTCTATAAACCTTGAAGTTGACAAAACCCTAAACCCGCCCCAAACCCTAAACCCCATAACCCCTAAGCCCTAGAACCCCTAACTCCGTAATACGAACCCCTAAACCCGGTAACACCTAAAAACTACAAAACCTGAGAACCCAGAAACAATGAAGATTCCAAACCACAAAGATCCCAAACCACAAAAAACCCAAACCACAAAATCCCCCAAAACCCCAAACCCAAACCCCAAACCCCCCCCTACCCAAGGCAAGCAAGGCACTCATGGAGTTGCGGCACACCCTCGCCGGGAGCAAGGCAAGGAGGGTTTAGGGTTTATAGGGTTTAGGGTCGTCCACATCAGCCGACGGGCTTACAAAGTAAATGCAAAGTAGTTCACTGGCTTGTGACGAGTCTCTGATTACATGCCTCATGTACAGATACAACCCCCCTTGTAGTTTTCTATGTTCGAGCTAGTTTCACCGATGCCGCGCTCCCTATCTTCGGATTCGGTGCTGAGTCAGCGAGTGAGCTTGGGGTTTAGGATGTTTGCGGGTTTGGGGTTTCGGGCTTTTTTCCCGGGTTTAGGGGCTTGGGACGTGTGAGTTCAGACTCTTGGGGTTTGGAGGTCCATGGTTTGGGGTTGGAATTCCATGTAAACCCTAAAGCCCTACAACCCTGAACCCTAAACCCTGACAATTCTTCGGGTTTAGGCTGTTCAGGGCACTTTTCGGGTTTCGGGTTGGCTTTGGACTTGATTTGACGACTAGGGGGGCCATCGAATCCTTTACAGTTGACTTTGGGACAAGGACCCACAACGTGTCATGTCCCCTAAGTCCCAAAAACCCTAACACCCTAAACCCACCTTAACCCACCTTAAACCCTAGAAGCATATAACTCTGACATAGCAAACCTTTAACCCTAACCCCCAAGCCCTGGAACTCTAGAGCCTTCGTACCTGGTTTTTCTCAATACTCCGTAGCACTCCATTGGGCTACCTCCCCCCTTTAGAGCTCCCTCTTTCAAGGACCTGGCAAGCCTAAACCCCACAGACCCGCAACCCTAAACCCTAAACCCTAAACCCTAAACCCCAAACCCCAAACCCCAAACCCCAAACCCCAAACCCCAAACCCCAAACCCCACACTAATCTGCGTTTTCAGGCTCCCAGAGCATGCCCGTGATCTTCGTCGCGGCGCATGCTGGCTAGGGACGTGAGTGGGAGCCAAGGGGCCTCCAGAGAGCCTTAAGAGCCTTGCTTTAGGGTTTAGGGTTTAGGGTTTAGGGTTTAGGGTTTAGGGTTAGGGTTCAGGGTTTAGGGATTCGAGGGTTTATAGGGTTTGGGGTTTAATTACACGGTTTATAGGGTTTAGAGATTTAGGGGTTTAGAGGGTTTTTGGGGTTTGGAGGGTTTAGAGGGTTTTGTGGGGTTTGTAGAGTCTGCAGGGCTAAGGGTGCGGGTTTTAACGGTTAAGAGACTAGGGTTACTAGGGCGTTTGTGCCGTCCCAAAGACCCTTTACAGGTATCCCACACAAGGTACCTTGTGGGCACTCGAAAGAGTTTGTCTTTGTCATTTTTTGCTTGCTGGGTTTGAGATTCCTCCTTACCAACCCCAAGTAGTACCCAACGAGGGGCTTAGGGTCTATGGTCTCGTAACAGGTGTTTTTCCTGATTTTTTGGTGCTGGCTGGTCTTAAAGGGAGTTTGGCCCTACAGAACGCTTTCAGTGGTATGTGGAGGATAGAGGCACCAAGAACTAGTACATTGTATAGGAGTGCTGATTGGAGATGTAGCGACGGTTCCCAAGCATAGTTTAGAGTTGAAGGATGAGGGTGCACGAAGACTAGCAGACATATCGGGTGGAGGGTGGGCTGCAAGACAACCCTTCGCAGACTTCGAAAAGGGTTTCTTGGATGTGATACTTCTTGGGTAGGCCCTACACCCTGTATACACTCTAAACCCTGAACCCTAAACACTTCATCTTTGTCGTGATGTAGATGCAGAGGGGCTCTTAGAGCAAATGGAGCCCCATGTTGAGCAACTGAGATGCGATGATTCCCTAAGGTCCATGTGCCAATATAATGTATATTCAAGGGCCTGAAGCTACGACACAGGAGTTTCTTGCAAGCCCAAGCCCCATAGACAAACCCTAAACCCATAATTAAATCCTAACCCCAGAACCCTAAAACCCTAAGACCCTAAAACCCCAACCCCATAATGCAGGCACGTACGGGCCCTGTGGGATTGCGAGCACCCCCGACGTCGGATCTGAAAATGCCGGCGTCGGGTGCTGAATTCGATGTCAGCCGCCAGTGGCCCGTGAGGGCCGCACCTCGGAGAACCCGCGCTGTTCCGGAAAGATTGGGGTTCCGAGTTTAGGGTTTAGGGTATAGGGTATAGGGTTTAGGGTTTAGGGTTTAGTGAGCGTATTCTGCGCCACCTGCAGCCACCTAAACCCCAAGCTCTAAACAAGACCTCTTCAATCCAGTCTGTTGAGCCTCATACTTCTTGGGTTCCCCTTCGGTCTAGTTTTCCGAGAATATGCACATTAGGACAGGGTTTAGGGCCATGCATGAACATGTGTCTGGAAATCAAAACTCGCTAGGCCCCCCTGGTTTCTTGTTGTCCAGAGTGGGCATGAGAGGAGTTTATTTTGTTGACCCTTACCTCAAACCCTAAACCCTAAACCCCTACAAGCTCTTTGAGTTTCTTGGCTGGCAAAGTAATTCCGGGCCTCAAGGGCCTTTAAACTCGGAAGCGCAAACCCTGATTTCTTTAAGCCCAAGCCCTATAAACCCTAACCTTTACGGGGTTTGGGGTTTTCGGGTTTATGGTATAGGGTTTAATTAGGGTTTTAGGGTTTAGGGTTTAGGGCTAAACCTTGGCAGCCCGTGGGTTCACCCCGTCGGCGTCCGGGGGCAGGTGCGGCCGTGATCTCACGGTAGAGACGCCTGCTGGCTCAGTCTATACACCATGCCACACCCTGGACCCTAAACCCTAAACAAGACGGGTAACACCCTGAGCCCTAAACCGTAAACCGGAATCCTTACAACCCAGGACTTAGGGCTTAGGGAGAAACAAGAACAGAAAAGAGACACAACCCCAGGGCTTTAGGTTTAGGGTTTTCCTGTATCTTTGACCTCCAGTTTCGGGTTTAGGAGTTTGAGGTTTGTTCACTAATTGCTTAAGAAGCCCCCGAAAGATTTTCTTCCCTTGAAAGGCAATATAGGGATTATCATCTTTCATATCTTTTGGAGGCTCTTAAGCACATCGTGGTTATGGGCTTAGGGGGTTTATGAGCCAGCAGAAGCAACCTACCTAGGCATGCGCATCCTCTCTGTCTCTCCATCGGTGAAGACCTCTTGCTGCAGACACGGCAGAAGCGAAGTCGGAGGAACAAGTTCTGCGGGCGCAAGGCGTGCCTTATTTGACGGTGGGGGGGGGTCACCCGACGGTAGAAGTAATTTGAGAGAGAGAGAGAGAGAGAAAGAGAGAGAGAGAGAGACAGAGATAGAGAGACAGAGAAAGAGAGAGAGAGAGAGAGAGAGATAGAGAGAGAGAGAGAGAAAGAGAGAGAGAGAGAGAGTGCCCAACAGAGCCCATAGTCAAGCACAACGCTAGACCCTACATACCCTGAATCCCAAAGTCTGAGCCCTAAACCCTAAGCCGAAACCCGAAACCGAAAGGCTGCCAGGCTAGCATTGCTTCAATGTCATGTCTCAGACTGTAGGACTGCTATGGGGCCTAAGAGTCTTCGGGTAGTTACAAGGTTTAGGGTTGAGTGTTTAGGGTTTAGGGCCTAGGGTAGGCACAAGGTTTAGGGTTTAGGTTTTAGGGGTTTTGGGTATGTGGTTAGGGTAGTCACAAGATTTAGGGTGTAGTGTCTAGGGGTTTAGGTATATGGCTAGCCTATTAGGTGTTCAGGTGTTTAGGTGTTTTGGCGTTTAGGTGTTTAGGTCTCCTGGCCCTTAATTGGGGAACCCTCTTGGGGAACCCTCATAATATATCCCTGACATACCTTATACAGCCCCGGGCCCATACTTCAGAACCACTTAAGGAAGGTACGAGACCATATTAAGGAACCATATGAAGGAGGTTCACCATATACAGGGACCATATGAAGGAACCATCTGAAGGAACCATATTAACGAACCGTGCAACCTCCCTTAGATTTTCGGGAACCAAAATCTGCACCCTAAACCCCAGCTTAGTTACTGCTGCGCAAGCCCTACGAACATAGAAGGGCTCAGTTTCCGGGGGGGGGGGGGGGGGGGGAGGCAGGTTGATTGACAGGGAATGAAGTTCAAGATTCAGGGGTGTTGAAGGTTTAGGGCTTTGGGGTGTTGCGACTCTGTTCAACGGCTGCTGCTCTTGCCCAAGCTATCGGAGATCTACGATCTATAATTTGTCCTACTCCCGCTCGTCGAGGGAATCAGGCTGGCCGGATTGGTTTGGACGTCAGCGTGAGGGAAGTCCCAAAACCCTAAACCTCCGAACCCATGGGAATTGCAAGATTGTTGTGGGTTCGATTTCAGCTGTAAGCCCTAAATCTCCAAACACCTCAACCCAACACTTTATGTAACCCTAAACCGCTAAACTCCTTAAACCACTGCAGGCCAGTACAAGCAGGGGATTTGTGGGTTGAAGTCACAAGCGCAGATAATCTCTACGTAAGTACGAATTAGGGAATGAGTTTACATGCGTGTTCGGGATAGTTGGGACTGCTGGGGCTAGCCAAGCATTACCGAGCCACCAACCCAACTCTAAACCCCTGAACTCTGAACCCTGTGAGGCCTCGCCAAATCCATCGCAACCATGAGTGCTGCGATGGCCAAGATCAGCGCCAATGTGGCGATCTTCTTCACAGGTCAACGGCCCGTAAACCCCAGCCCAACCCCAGCCCAACAAGATAAATATTGTTGTGTCTATGCATATATATGGGTGCGGCTCAAAAGTCTGGGTATGTAACTGGCTCCCGGGCGTCTTTCCGCGACATAGGGTTTGTAACAAAGCCGTTCTGCTTGCGACAAGCAGTCCGCGACAAGCCTCCGCGACAAGCCTCCGCGACAAGCCTTTGCGACAAGCCCCTTCTTGGAACTGCATGGGTTTCGTATCTCTTTTTCAAGACAGCGCGAAACAGCCGCGACAAACCCCGCGACATACGTATGAAACAAGTGGGCGCGACATACGTATGTAACACAGGCGGGTGGCGGGACACCGCGACATACCCCTATTTAGACCCACAGCCATATATATATATATACACATCAGTACTATATATACATGTATACACATACTCTCTACATGCAGAGATACATACCTAGGTACCTCTTTATGTATACACACAAGAATCCCCAGATCCCCACCCCCTCCCCCCGACCCCGGCTTGCTTTTTTCCTCCTCCAGCTGCGGATCATCACGGGACTCTCTGGGGGGGAGAGCGGGGGGGGGGGGGGGGGGGGGGGGGGGGTAGGGTTTAGGGTTTAGGGTTTAGGGTTAGGGTTTAGGGTTTACGGTTTACGGTTTAGGGTTTAGGGTTTAGCGTTTAGCGTTTTGGGGGGGGGGGGGGGGGGGGGGGGGGGCGGGGGCTCGGAGGGTTGTACATTTCTGGTGAAGCAAGCCTTCCAAGGGTTTAGGGTTTATATAGGGTTTAGGGCTTAGGGAAGCTTGGGACTTTGTGAGTGTATGTAGGGGCTCCTTAAGGGCGTAGTGGTGGGCGTGTACAGGGGAGACATTCGTCCCAGCAGCAGCCTTCTCTCCTGCAAGGTCTGGGGTTTCGGTTTTCGGGCTACCTAAGGGTTATATGAAGCAGGTTTATATCACGGTTTTTGGTGAGTGTATATAAGGTTCCTTTTTAATATTGGTGAGTGTATATACCGGGTGTGCTTTTGGGGGTACAAGAAATATATACCCTACTTCAATATGTTAAAGAACATCTCCTTCATACACCCGAGGGCCCAGCATCCTCAAGCTTCCCGGACGCCTGCAGTTCTGACGTCCATGTTCTGGCTGGTGCTCATCTTCCAGGAGAAAGGTAGGGCCACCCCCCACCTCTGCTAGATGAGGGCTGAGGGTTGAGGGTTTGTTGGGGTTGTTCGGGATTCTTGGGGCTCTTCGTTAGGACTTGAGAGCTTTGGGTTCAAGGACTTTAGGGGCGTTTGGGCCAGGGTTTAGGGTTTAGGCTTTGGAGTTTAGGGCTTCGGGCTTAGTGTGTTTGATAGGAATTTTTTCAGGTAAGTCGTTCCCTCATGGGCGTCTCATTCGGTAGCTGTGGAGAAGAGCATTCCGTCACTAACATGGGGCAAAACCCCAAAACCTAAACCCGTAAAGCCTCAATCCTTTGAGCATTGCACCCATAAGCACCCAAGCCCTAAACCACTAAAGGGTTTAGGGTTTTGAGTTTAGGGTTTAGGAAACCCTAAACCCTAAAACATACTCACGCGAGGCAACTTGCTCCAGACACTGGGGCCCTGAAGGCCTAAATCACCTCGAGCTCCAACCCTAAACCCTAAATCCTAAACGCTAAACCCTACACCCTAGGCCCTAAACCCTAAACCCTAAACCCTAAATTTAAGAGCCTCCGGCTCAAGCCGCCGACCCCGCTGGAGCATAGTTGAAAGGTTTAAACGCGCTCGTCAGCTCAAAGGATGCCAAAAGTTGATTTGCGTGAGCCTCTGTGAAACGTTGGGGGGGGGGTAGGGGGTAGCACCAGGACCCAAACAGCTTGAAGGGTAGGGGGGGTAGGGGGGGGGGGTAGGGGGAGGGTTTTTTCCCAAAGGACCCCTATGTCCTGTGCGAAACCGCCTATGGTCCGTGAGTTTATGCGGTGTGGGTGGCCTGGCCCTCCATGGAAAAGCTGCCCGGGTACCCCCCCCTACCCCCCCCTTGCCCTGGGGGGGGGTAAGGAGGGAAAGAGGGAGGTTTTCACCTCCTTTTCCCATCCAACACGCCGCCAGGGTCGGCGGACCCTAAACCCTAAACCCTAAACCCTAAACCCTAAACCCTTAACCCTAAACCCTAAACCCTAAACCCTAAACCCTACACACTCAGGCCCTGTAGACAAGCCTCCATCTTGGCGAGACCGTCGCCTGGAATCCTACAGGATACTGCTAGTTGCTTTAGAACCCAAAACATATGAGAAAACAAAAACAAAATCCCTGGGTTAGCCTTACAAGGAAGAATATCCTCATGTTTCTGTTTTTTTTTTTTTTTGTGGGGGTTTAGGGTTTAGGGTTTAGGGTTTAGGGTTTAGGGTTTAGGGTTTAGGGTTTAGGGTTTAGGGTTTAGGGTTTAGGGTTTAGGGTTTAGGGTTTAGGGTTTAGGGTTTAGTCACTGGGTAATGATGGTGTTGGAGGGCTTCCTTGTGAGGAGGAAAGCGAGGATGATGTCGAGATTGTGGCCGAACAGGCGGGTCCGCCACTTCCGAATCCACTGGGCGCATTCGCCGAAGCTACAACACACATCGACATCGATTTGTTCGCCCTTTACGCCCAGGCCCCAGGGACCTGGCAACGCATGATTACTGCCGCTTGGAGGCGAGCTTGCCCCGGCCATCACCCGGATGGCCGAGGGGGCCACCAACAATTCTTGCGGCTCACAGCTGCCAGAGATGTGCTCCTGGCATGGGTCAAGGAATTTTCGGAAATCCAACGGGCTTGGCCCGAATGCCACATCCGCTGCTTCTGCACGGATTGTCGGGCCATACTACAGATCATGCTTGACTGCGGGAAATGCTTGGGGCTCAAGACGAACACGCCTCACACTTGCGGTTACTTTACCAAGGACTGCGGGGTTTTCATTAGGGTTTAGGGTTTAGGGTTTAGGGTTTAGGGTTTAGGGTTTAGGGTTTAGGGTTTAGGGTTTAGGGTTTAGGGTTTAGAGGACCCTCTGAAGCCTCTAAACCCTAAGCCCGAAGCCCTGAAAGGCTGGGCTTCCAAGACCTGCGCCTGGTACACAGCCCGCCGGCTCAGTGTCAGGATGAGTGAGGTACAGGGTTTAGGGTTTAGGGTTTAGGGTTTAGGGTTTAGGGATTACGGCTCAGGGTTTAGGGTTTTGGGGTTTAAGGTTTTAGGGTGTTGCTGCTCTAGGCCCGATTAATTGAACCCTAAATCCTAAACCGCCCCTTTGCATGATTCTCAAGCGGCCTACAAACCTCTTTAAGCCAAAAAAGGGCACCCTTTTTAATCCTAGGTTACTGGGCAACCTGGCAGATGCTCAACCCGAAAGCAAGTTTCCAGACCGGGGCGCATGGCTTAGGGAGTTTGCCAGGGTCGGTGAGGGTTTGGGGGTGAGAGCGGCTTAGGGTTTAGGGTTTAGGGTTTGGGGTTTAGGGTTTAGGGTTTGGGGTTTAGGGTTTAGGGTTTAGGGGTGCAGAAGATGGGTTACGGCTCCTCTGCCACCCTTGAAAGGTGTCGTTTTCTGTGTTAAAACTAACTTCGATTTCAACATTCGGGACATAGTTTACTAGCTTTCTTGCTTTTTTTTCACCCTTTTTGTATTACATACTTTGCAAGTGAGTTGTAGTATAATGTAAACTCAATGTTTTGCAACAAAGAAGATTAAGCAGACTTCAATTTAGCAGGTTCATATTCTTTGAAGTATTTTGGCTCAGTTCCAAAGCGCGGACGAAGCCTTAGCTAAGACATCCTTCAAGGCCCTGAAGCACAGATAGATAGATAGATCATTTTGTATTTGTATATTCATATATGTTGTATATTTGTATACATATATATATATATATATATGTATATTTGCGTGTGTACAAAGATATTCCTGTGTTTATGTATTTCATTTATTGACATATTCATAGATTCATATGTATATGATGATATATAGTGACATATTGAAATATTTGTGCGTTTCTAGATTTTTAGATTTAGGCATTTGTAGAATTACATATTCATATAGTTAGATATGCGTTTATTCATATGTCTATATATAGTATGTACAATTTTCATGTTTATCTTGTTTTGGAGTAGGGCGCTGGCAAAATTGCGAGTCTAAAGATTCGGGTTTTGCGGTCCAGAGTTTGGGGTTCAGGGTGTAAGGTTCAGAGTTTAGGGTTCAGGGTGTAGGATTCAGGGTGTTGCACTTCGACTACGGTTTTTTTGTTATCAGTATTCGTAGGCTTCTACCGTAGCCGCAAACCCGAGTCTATGGAGCGCAACGCTGGCCCGTGCGAGCTTTTCGAATTCCACCCCACAGCCCTAAACCCTAACATTAAACCCTAAACCCTTAACCCCTAAACCTTGAACCTTAGACCCCAAGCCCGCCACATCCGAGTTGGACTTGGGCGCGTGGAAGGTGACCGTATCTCGGGACACAGCCTCAGAGGGTTCAGGGTTTAGGGTGTAGGGTTTAGGGTTCAGAGTTCGGGGTTGAGGGTTTAGGGTTTAGAGGGTTGAGGATTTAGGGGTTCCAACCCTCGGCCGAAAGCATAAACCCTTTGCCCTCTACATCCGTCCTTCCTTTCGGGTTAAGGCCCCCTGGTCCTACATAATCCCTTAGAGGATATATGCAGGGCTCCCATTCCCTCATTCCCCACTAAGAACTAAGAACCAGTCAGAAGGGTTGAGGGTGCAGCTACACCCTACTTAAAACCATATTTAAATCCAGGCCCTACACTCGAAACCTCTCCTTCACGTATGTACATATACACAGTTATTATTTGGGATGATCCCTGTTGTACTAACAGTTGCGGCTACTGATGCCGAAGCTTCAGGGTGTTGCTGAGCTTTGGGCTTTATAGGGCTTAGGGCTTAGGGCTTAGGGCTTAGGGTTTAGGGTTTAGGGTTTAGGGTTTAGGGTTGAGGGCCTGATTGGTGCTGCCTTGAGCAATGTTGTGCGGCCCCATGGGCGGGTGGGATTCGGTGGGATGTCCCCGTTCCTTGACAAGCTGCTTGACCAGGGAATGCTTTGACTTGAGATGCTGAACCCTAAACCCTAACCCTACAACCCTCGACCCTACAACCCTCGACCCTACAACCCTTCACCCTAAACCCTAAACCCTAAGCCCTGTCGTGAAAACCTCCAGCCCCCACAGCCTGGTTTTGGAACTTACAGGGTTTGCAGGATTTAGGGTTCAGAGGTTGTGCTGAGAGCCTTTGAAGGGATGAACCTAACCCTAAACCCTAAACCCTAAACACGCAACCTTAAACCCTAAGCCCTAAACCGTAAACCCTAAACGCTAAACCCTAAACACGCAACCCTAAACCCTTTGGTAAGCATGTGCACTTCGGTCATAGAGTCTCGTGTGGATAGAAAAAAGGGCTCCCTGGCCTGCCCCTTGTCACGTTCAGTGTTCTTTTGCAGGGGTTGAGGTTTAGAATTTAGGGTTTAGGGTTTAGGGTTTAGGGTTTAGGGTTTAGGGTTTAGGGTTTAGGGTTTAGGGCAAGTCCTCCAATGCCCCGAGAACCTTGAACGTACCCTTGTTTATTCCCTTGGCCTGATTGGTTCCAGGGTTTTAGTGCCCAACCCGACGCCCGAAACCTGTCGAGTCTCCCTAAACCCTAAACCCTAAACCCTAAACCCTGAACCCTAAACCCGAAACCCTACGCCCTCATCACAGGGACTCGTGGTCAAACTCCTCGTGCCGGACAAGGCGAGGTGGGAGCAGCAACAAGAGCCAGGGTTCGAAATTCTAAGCCCTTTCCGGGCTTAGGGTTTAGGGTATAGTATAGGGTTTAGGGCTTAGGGTTTACGACCCGTAATCCCGAAACCCTGCGAGTCCGCCGCGTAAGTGAGCTGCAGGCTTTAAGGGATAAGTAAACCCCTCCAGAAAAAGCGATTAGAATGGCCTAGGGTGTCTGACGTCAATTGTAGGGTTCTCTTGCTCCCCAAGGCAATGAAGGCTAACAGTGGGTTAGGTGGTGGGAGCTACAGCCGCCAGTCAACCAAAAGGATGGCTATGGGAGGAGATCCGAGCTATCAATATCCTTTTTTGGGTTTATTGGGTTTCTTAATAAGGCAGCTAAAATTTTAATTTTTAGCTACCCTCCTAAGTGCAGCCAAGATCTTATTTCCCTCCTTTGTGTATTTAAGATGTACCCAAATCAGCCCCCCCCCTTCACAGATACAACATTCAAAAGTATCTATACCCAAGATACCCATGCTGTTAAATGGGCCCTTACATTGCAGAACTTACAAGCCTGCAAGAATTCCAGGTTGCCCTACTGCCTACACCTCATGTTGATACAGAATATATGTATATATATATATATATGTGTGTGTGTATGTGTATATATATATATATGTATATATATATATATATATTATGTGTGGATATACATGTATATATATACATATATATATATATATAATTTATATATTTATTTGTACACCAGCAGTTTATGAGCCTATGCTGGGAAGTACCTGTTCCGCATTTTGGGTTTAGGAGGGTCTTATTTCAGAATCAGTGTCAAAGCAGGTAAGCGGCCTCAGGCATGTTGGGCTAGAGAATGTGATGACCCCGGCTGGGTCCTGGCATATGGGTTTAGGGTTTAGGGTTTAGGGTTTCGGGTTTGGGGGTTGTCCTGAGCCAGGTCGCACATACGTATGGCCGCTCCCGCAGGCGTGTTTGTGTCCAGCAGGGTAGGTGTTGACAGCTAAAAATATCCCCTGGGCGCGAAGGGCTCGCACATTGCCGTGCAAACGTGATCATGGGTTGCGGGGCAAGCAGCGTTGAGAAGAAGAGGAGAACAGGTCGCGTATCGTCCTTCACGATGAGGGCCCCCATTCCCACCGGAGTTCCGAGAGGGACCATTCTGGCCCCGGACCGGGAATGCCACGACGCCCACGTGAAGAGCTTAAACCGCTACCTGAGGAAGGTGAAGAAAGACCCGCCACTCGGTCTATAGTGTTTAGGGTTTAGGGTTTAAGGGTGTAGCGTCTTGAGAACTCACAAGACAGCTTTGCTACAAGCCATCATCTTTCCCCCATTATTGCCGAAGCCTTCCTCCCTGCCTGAACCTGAGCCCTGAACCCTACGTGCGAGTCTCTTGGTTTCCGGGTTTCTTGCTTGGAGTTTGGATAAAGTCAGCAGTGCGAAGAGCAGTCAGAGGCGTAGCAAGACAGAGGAAGGGAGCGAGAGAGAGAGAGGGAGAGGGAGACAGTGAGAGGCAGAGGGAGCCAGAGAGCGACGGAGAGAGGGAGAGAGCGAGCAAAAAGTTCAGCAAGACGTAAAGAAAGAACGAAACAAATATCATAACTACATAAATGCTGACAAATAGCGAAGTCAATAAACATAGCACGTAAAGAGGGCGAGCGAGAGAAATTGGGAGAAAGGTCATCGGGCTCAGCACCCTTGTTCCCCTCGATCGTCTGTTGTGTGACATGTGGAGAGCCACAAACCCCAAAACCCTTAACCATATTCAGAAAGAACGAAACGATGCTTGAGCCTGTACGTAACTCCTCCCCCCCCCCCCCACCCGCCCCAACCCTAAATCCGAGCCCCCCCCCCCCCAAAAAAAAAAAATAAAAACAAGCTGTGTAATAAACAAAAATGAATAGGCGGAGACAAAGTCACTCAACCCCTTCCGTTGTAGCCTCACAAGCTTCTGACCTCCTTTGGGTGCATTTAGGGTTTAGGGTTTAGGGTTTAGGGTTTGGGTTTAGGGTTTAGGCTTCAGTTGCCAAACCCGAAACCCTGAACCGTTAACCTTAAACCCGAAGCCCTTTGGGTTTGGGGTTCAGCACTTTCTGGCTTTAGGGGTTTAGGGCCCTAAGCACGAAAAGGACTTATGACTTCCCAAGGCAATCCTTCAAGAAGTGGATCGAAGTTGAGCGGTTTGACCGGGTTGCTCCGGCCGTCGCGGAGGCTCCACCGTCTGGAGGGTCTTAAGTGCAGGGTTTAGGGTTTAGGGTTTAGGGTTTAGGGTTTAGGGTTTAGGGTTTCGGGTTTAGGCTTTAGGGGTTGAAGGTCTAGGGTTTGAGGGTTTAGGCTTTAGGGGTTGAAGGGTGTAGGGTCACGTGGGCCCTTAGTTTCGGGGCTTGCGGGCTAACCTTTTGCGCGCCAAACTCGCTCCCAGCCAAGCACCAGGTACTGCACCCTTGAGGGCTTTTAGGGTTTAGGGTACAGGGTATAGGGTTATAGGGTTATAGGGTTTAGGGTTATAGGATTATGGGCTTTAGGGCTATAGGGTTATAGGGTTATAGGGTTCTAGGGTACAGAAACCTCGCGGTATCTGAACAAACCCTCTCTTTGGGGAATCCTAAACCCTAAACCCCAAACCCTAAACAACGGAAAGAAGCCTTTGCGAGGCGAAGCCATCCATGCAGACGCCGAGGAACAAGGCGAGCAGCTTGATGTCAAGGACAAGAACTCTCTGATCCGAAAGGCCGAAAGGCCATGAGGCATCCCACGACCCTAAACCCTAAACCCCAAACCCTAAACCCTAAACCCTAAATCCTAAACTCCGGCCCATCGACCTTGTAAGACTTGGCTTCCCTAAGACTTGCTTGTAGGGTTTAGGGTTTAGGGTTTAAGGTTTAAGGTATAGGGTTCTGGGCCTCCCCACTGCCGGAAAAATGCAGTGCTCCTATCTCGGAGTCAGCCATGCTGCTGGTACTCGGAAATCCTGCCCTGATGTCTACGATTTGCTTAAGAACCCCCCCCCCCCCCACAAAAAATATTCAAAAAAACCCTATAGTGCCTGTATAAGGAATAACATGTATTCTTTTGGCGGGAGGGGGGGGGGGTTATTATGCAATTCGTAGAAATGTCTCGTTGGAAACGCCACCTGCATCCTACAAAGCTGCCTCGCGCCGCGGAAACATCTGCTGGGTTGCGTTTGTTTCCGGGTGGCTGCTTGGCCTCTGCTGCAGGAAACCCCCAACATAAATCCCGAACGTAGAGCTAACCGGCCTTTGGCATGAGGGCCGGCAACAGAGGTGCCCTAAACCCTAAACCCTAAACCCTAAACCCTAAACCCTAAACCCTAAACCCTAAACCCTAAACCCTAAACCTGATGCAGAGCTTGGGATGCAAGCGGCGCCATCTCTTGCACAGGCGCCTGCGCAATGGGCCCTGTTCCCGCGCAGTCGATCTTCTCGGGGCTTTCCAGAAAACAGGGGTCCCCGTATATACCCCAAAGCAGGGTTTAGGGTTTAGGGTTTAGGGTTTAGGGTTTAGGGTTTAGGGTTTCAGGAACCCCTGCAAACTCAAAGGTTCTATGCATCACGTCTATACTGGAGCCTTGTAGAGGGCTTCCTCTGTATGCAGTAGCGTCAGGGCCCAGAAACCTAAGGAAAAAGCCCCCCCGCCCCTTTTGCCGGGTTTCTGGAGAGGCCCTCTTCAACACTTGGTAGCCCTGTGGCACCCTTTTGCCCTTTTTTTGGGTTGCTGGTTCCCTGTAAAGTAACCCTAAACCCTAAACCCTAAACCCTAAACCCTAAACCCTAAACCCTAAACGCTAAACCCTAAACCCTAAACCCTAAACCCTAAACCCTAAACCCTAAAGCCTAAACCCTAAACCCTAAACCAAAGAAGGGTGCCCTTATTCTAATATGGTTGATGGGCTACCAAGAACAAAGGCTATGCCTCAACATTCTTGATTTTTTGGGGCCATGGATGGTCACCAGCCAGAGGGTTTAGGGTTTAGGGTTTAGGGTTTAGGGTTTAGGGTATTTAGGGTATTTAGGGTATTTAGGGTATTTAGGGTATTTAGGGTATTTAGGGTATTTAGGGTATTTAGGGTTTAGGGTTTAGGGTTTAGGGTTTAGGGTTTAGGGGTGTGCGGTGTCAGGGCTTCAGGGTTCCATTAGGGTTTAGGGTTTACGGTTTAGGGTTTAGGGTTTAGGGTTTACGGTTTGGGGCTGCGGGGTTAAGTTTTCAGAGCTTGCGGTTTGTGGTTTAAGGGTTTCAGGGTTTAGGGTTTGAAGGTGAAAAAAGTTTCGGTTTCACGGTGTTAGGGTTGCGGTGGGTACATGAACCCCAAACCGGGTTTATCGTCTATAGAAGTAGTCTCATGTTGCTTATTGTAGGCTCGGTAGCCCCTTGGAACATTTTATGTTTCCCGTATTTTTCAGGAGGATCATATTCAGGAATATTTTCAGAGGGTTTTAAGGGGCATCCTAGTAGTGGAGGGCATGCGATCCCACTTGTAGGTTCGTTTAGAGCCCGAAGGCTGTACAGCATTAAGAGGAGTATCCGGCCCGCTGGCGGCACACATGTTGATGGTTCAGGACATGGGCGACGGTGGGGTTCCCCAGCTACCCCAAAAGTTCTAAGTACCGCAAATACCCAAAATACCCCCAATCTTTCCCGACTCTCGTTGGCTCGTCCGGCCCCCTCAAGTTTCAGTGTGATTCCTTTTTTTGGGGAGTGTCTCGTGGTCCTCCTGCCATGCCTTTGATGAGATCCATGTGCCTTGCTTCGATTTCGGGAGAAGGCAGTGCATCGCGAGACACTCATCGCGTTGCTGCGAGCAGCGGCATACGTTGAGGAATACCCTAAACCCTAAACCCTAAATTTAAAAAAAAAAACTAAACCCTAAACCCTAAATCGGATTGTCTAGATCTAGATACGAAATCGCCATGCTCAGCCGGAGCTGATGTCCCCGCACGGCGTCAACTGTGTGCGCGAAGTAGATCAAGTCACACTGCCCTGTGGGACTGAACGAACCCAACAACTTGGGTCCTGTACCCCATAGTACTAGCACCAGTAAGGTATATGTATGGGCCACAAACCCTGTACATCCTTTCAGGGTTCACTTGCCCCCCCCCCCCCCCAAATCGTAAACCCTATAACCCTAAACCCTAATTCCTAAACCCTAAGCCTTACAACCATCAACCGATTTCGGGAAACCCGAGGAAACTAAATCCTAAACCTAAACCTTGCAACCACCAACCCTGTTCGGGAAACCCTAGAACAAACCAAAAAATGTCCTAAACCTGACAATTCTGAACCCTTTCGGGAAAGCCTAGAATCCTAAACGCTAAACCCTAAACCCTAAACCCTATAACCAGCAGCCCTTTCGGTTTCTTCTTTGACCATATTAAGGGCGCATGAAACTAACCTTAGATCCTAACTTAACCCTAAACCCTACATCTAATCCTGCAGCAGTTTACGGCCTTAGAATTGTAGATGTCAAACACTTCAAAACCTTGAAAGCCCATGGTGCCTTGACTTGGGTTTACCTAAACCCTAAACCCTAACCCCTATTTAGGGTTCAGGGTTTCGGACAAAGAAACCAAGCAGAAGCATTATGACAGTGGGGAGGCCCGGCACAGCATGGCGTGACAGTCCTGAGGGACCAGGGACCATGTAACTACCATCAGCATGTCGGACAGTGGGAGACCTGCTTGTGCAAGAGGCACTTCCTCGCCATTGGTGAGTTAAACGTGTGTTGATCTAAAGGTCCTTTCTTGCGAGTTCACATAGCCGACCTAACCTTAAGCCTAAACCCTCTGTCCTAAAACCCTAAACCCTCAACCCTCAACCCTAAACCCTAGCTTGAGAACAAAGGATTTTGATCAACCCCCGTATGTGTCTCTGGGCAAGTACGTGTCGCAGTCAGTTCGCACGATCAGCAGGCTTCGCTTTGTTGAAGGCGAAGATTCCACGGCTTAGCAGGAGAATCTAAAACCGCTCAATACTGCAATTCATACTGCAGAATAGGGTCTTGGGGGTTCTTAGAGTACCATTATACATAGGGACCATGAAATAACATTATTTGCAACTATTCCGACCCCCTAAACCCTAAAGCCTAAAGCCTAAACCCAAAACCCTAAACCCTAAACCCTAAACCCTAAACCCTAAACCCTAAACCCTAAACCTTAAGCGATGCCAGGCTGCTTATCAACCCAAAGCCCCGGCGGCTATGGGTAGGGTTTAGGTTTAGGGTTTAGGGTTTAGGGTTTAAGATTTAGGGTTTAGGGTTTAGGGTGAGATGGCCCCTTACCTCCTTTATAGGCATAGGATTCTGATGCAAGGGCCCCTTATTTCGTAGAGGGTATATAAGGGGTACAAAAGGGGGAGCCTTGGGTTGTGTAGCTACATAAGGGGGCCCCCCCTTTAAGGGCCCATATTGAAGTAAATGTTCTCAAAGAGTGTTGAGAGTTTAGCAAGTTGTTTGAGGAGGACCTAGAGTAGGCCCGTATTCCTTTTTTTGGGGGGGCGGGGGGGGGGGGGGGGGGTGGGGGAATTGGGGTTTAGGGTGTAGGGTTTACGGGGACCAGAGTAAGGCCATCACTCCTTCTTTCGGGTTTGGTTCCCTTATGGGCACCAAAAAGGGCACCCTGTTTATTCCTAGGTGACTCTTGGGTCTGGACTCCGAACGCCCTGCCCATCTATCCCGTCATCTAGAGTCAATATTAATATCACACTTCCCCAGTAGTGCAAACCTAAACCCTAAGACCTAAAAAAGCTTCGTCATGGCGCTCATGAACCTCAAAATTGGGGTTATATTCCCCCATACTACCGTAATTCCGATTAAGGTAATATGAACCACAAGCCCTTTTAGGATTCCTTCTTCTGGTTTGGGGTTTAGGAGTTAGGGTTGGCCCTAAACCCTAAACTCTCAACCCTCAGCCCTAAACCCTAGACCCTTTGTACAATATTCTGCTGAGACTCAGAGTGTCTTTTTTTGTTTCCATTGCTCAGGCGTTAGCCCCTTTCCTTCCCAGGTTTAGCTTTGTGGCTTGGGGTTCACAGGTTAGGTGGGGCTTTGGGCTACTGAGGGCTTGAAAACCATCTTCAAACCATGGTCCTACACACAAAACCCTCAACCCTGAACCCTGAACCGCAGTTCTCAGGGTTTAGGGTTTAGGGGCTTAGGGCTTAGGGCTTAGGGCTTAGGGCTTAGGGCTTAGGGCTTAGGGCTTAGGGCTTAGGGCTTAGGGCTTAGGGCTTAGGGCTTAGGGCTTAGGGCTTAGGGCTTAGGGTCCGAACAAAACTTCTCAGAGCTAGAGGGTGAGGTGAGCGCGCAGGCCTGCTGACCAATGGACGGCCTTGATACAACGCCTAGACTGCCCCGTAGTACCCTGTTTACCTTGTTCTCTTTGCTTGGGTGACCTAGAAACCGCAAATCCTAAAAACCCTAAACCCTAAAGTCTGCCCAGATTCCAGGGGCAACCTAGGTAAAAGACCGCGAATGTTTTTCCGCGAACCTCCGCCCAACTGTGGAGGATTTCATTGGCCCAAGCTATCGGGGCCTAGTGTTCTACAGTTGCTGGGTTATGATTCTAGAGTTTGGGGATCAAGAGGGGTTCGAGAGCACAGAGCTGTGGGGGTTAGGGTTGTGCTGGGGTCTTGTTGCTGGGGTATGCCTGGAGGCACCCAGGCAAGAATGCCAGCTAGCTCAGCAGAAACTCTTTAGCTTTCCTTTTGC